TTTAGAGGTACTTAGCAATTTTTTAAATTCTGTTTTTGATTTCTTCTTTTACCTGAGATAGTATTTCTGTTCTAATTTCTTTTGTAGCCTCATGAAATTATTTCTTTACTACAGTTGCCATTAAGTCAGAAACTTCAGGTGTACAATTCCTGATCTCTTCCGTGTTTACATCTCCTGGACCAGCTCTGCTTGGGTTGGAGGTCAGAGTCTGCCTTTTGCTTCTTCATCTTGACATATTCCTGGTTTCTTTCAGACAAGTGGGTAGGGGATCCCAGGCACTTCCCATATTGTCTATAATTTCTCTGAAGTGAGACTGTTTGGTTCTCCTGACTACCATTTGATGTACTGGTGCAGGGCTGTCTGTTGCTTTTCGCAGCCTGCCTTGGCTCACCAATGGCTGGTAGAGTGCATTTAGGGGTGGGGCTGGCTGCTGCCTCCTAGCTGGTTACCAGAGGGGATCTTCGATGATGGCTACCAGAGTACGTGTTGGGGGTGGGACTTTGTGTTGCCTCTGACCAAGCTAGTTACTAGCAGACAGCCCCAACCATTGCCATTGAAGTGAACATGAAGGCGGGGATGGCCACTGCCTCCAAACCCAGCTGGTTACCACTGGGGAGCCCTGGCGATGGCTGCTGGAGTGCAAGACTCAGCCCAAGCATTTTCCACCAGTCTGATCCCATGTAGGAGTTGCTGGAGGGACCCCACTGCAGTTCTGGTTCAGGGCTTCTCTGGCCTGGCTGTAAACTGGCTCCCAGACAGTCACTCTCTCCTGTGGGAGGAGTGAGCCCTCTGTACTCACTGCCAGCCAGTGCAGTCCTCTGCATCGGCTGCTCCCTTCCATCAGAAGCTTCCAGACTCACCAGCCACCACTGTCACTGTGACCGCGTGTCCCCAGGTTCCAACAGCTCCTCTCACACATGGGTCTGGCTCTGGGTGAAGGCATCACCAGCTATTATTTTATTCTTTATTTAAATTTTTCTTTTTTACTGGGGGCTTCCCTTCTCACTTTAGATTCTTCCTGGGTCCAGAGGACCCACTGTCTTCCTTCTTGTATTCTCCAGAATGCTGTATTCCAGCATCTGGACTGTTTCTGTCAGAGAGGCCATTTACTCTGTTGCTTACTGTTCTGCCATCTCCCTGGTGACCTGATAGGTCAGTTTGGGGACAAGTTTTACATTGAAATATCCTAAGCATTTATTCATTATGTGATCATTTGGAAGGAGCCTCCTGCATCAGAATCTGTGTGACTGCCAGGAATGTAGAGATAAAAGATGTATCACCTGCTCTGCAGAATTTCATAGGAAGGTGAGGGACATAGATCAGAAAGGAACTAGACTGTTATACAGTAGGTGGCAAATCCATTAATAGAAAGATGCATGACTGTGGGATATAAACAAGGATTAGACAGCCTATGAAAAACTATTTTCCAAAGGCAGTAATAGCGTAATGTAGGTGATTCAGCACTGTCTAGTTGAGGGGATATATGATCTCCTGAGGTGCAATAATTCATGTCATTTCTCTTGGCTGTTCCCAAGGGTATTGACGGGAGGCACTCACTAGCCACCCACTAGAACACTTAGTACGTCTATCACAAGAGAGTGACGTAGGGTCGGCAGGCTTTACTTCTGCTTGCCCAAATTTTCCTGGTATGAATTATGGGAGATGCTGGCAGTCTCTTATTGTTGATTTCCTTCTTTCTACCTTCTCACTTTCTCCATCTTACTGGCTAAGTCCTACTTTTCATGACTAATACAACTTTCTTTTCCCTTTCCAGCCAGAAATACTGTCACCTGGCCTCTTGCAGAAAAGTGTTTTGGCTTACTGTCATTCTCTCTCTCTCTCTCTCTCTCTCTCTCTCTCTCTCTCTCTCTCTCCCTCTCTCTCTCTCTCTCCACATATATATTTGTGATACTGGAACCATGTTTTGCCTCAAGTTCCTCTAACCATATCCCTCTTCAGAGTTTCTTCACTTTCCAGTGGTCCACTCAATTATGAATAAATCAACGGGTAAACCTATTTGTGAGATCAGAACCTTTGTAACATGGTCACTTCCAAATATCTCATTTCTGAACAGTGCTACATTGACAGCCAACCCTTAAATGCATGGTATTTGGGGGGACATTTTAGATTCAAATTGTAGCAAGTATAAGGTTTTCATTTTAGTGCATGTGTGCGTGGCTGTTGGATTGGGAAATAAGCCTTATACTTTCATGAAGCTAGTATCATTGTATTAGGATACTATCTGATTATAATACTATGGAGATAATTTTCAAACACATTTCTAAAATTTATTTTTTAATTAGTGCATGATAGTAAAATCAAAGAGTGGTGTTCATTTTAGGGAATTAGTACATGAGTAAAATGCATCTTGATCATTTCCAGGTCCTTTATTCACCCCTTCCTTTCCTCCACATCCCACCATTCCACTTCTCCAAGTAAATGGAATTTTATTTATTTATTTGTGTTATCATAAGCCATTTTAACAACCTTAGAATAGTGTTGACACTATCTTTGCAAAACTTATGATTTTTATTTGATTAAAAGAAATAGTCTAATGTTTTGTAGGAATTCTATGCAACGACTATACAAGTAGCTGCTTCTATAATGGAGGGCAGCCAGGAAATATACACTTAAATTTAAATTTCTGATATCCTTCAATCATCCTGTATCTTTTTTTCTCGATATTTCCTTCAGTTATATTATCTGGAATTACTCTCTGCCATAAAGAAATATACATTCTGCAAAGAGAAGTGTAAAAGCATTTAATATACTGTTTTTTTTAATTTTGATTTTTCTCTGACCTGCATTGCATTTCCATATTTTCTGTTTTTAATAAACAAATAGTTTGTTGTTTTGATTGCTGGAGCAGGGCATAGGCAATGGCCAGTGGGTACTCTGGCATGGGTATTAATAGTAACTGAGTAGAGACCCAGATGTACTAATGTTAAAAACTAAACAATATGATTTATTATTCCCTTGTAGGCAGCACAACCATAAAGGAGTGTGGATAATCAAATACAAGTAATATAAACACATACTTTATTCTTTTGTTGCAAGATATAATTTTAGCACACATCATAAATTGCAAGTTTTATTTGAAAAGTTTGACCTAATTACTTCTAAAGGTTTTTCTTTAAATCCCCTTGTTACCTTTCTAATTACACAAATATAAGAAGGCTGTATTGAAATGTGCTTTCTGGGTAAAAAGTAATGTTTAATGTTCACTTAATCCCTGTGAGGCATTTTTTCCCTTTCAGTTTACATGGCCTAATAATAAATAATCTGTCTTGATTTTGTGTACTAGTAGCTAATTGAAGGATGAATGGCCTCCATAAAAAGGTGATACCTATTATCCATATGAATGGCTGTTTTTAGTTATAATATACACAAATAAAGAAAAAAGCAGATCCTTAAGGAAAACAAATTTATATTCTAGAAATTTTGTCTTGATGTAATACTGTTAGAACCACAATTTTTATTGTGTGATCCAGAAAGAAGGACATTGTCTTATTATCTTCTGTCTACAGAAAAATAGTTACATGAAACCATGATACTTCTATAAGAAAGCTAATCACCTGTTTTTTTTTGAATATGGATAAGAATGTTTTTCCGGGTCAGAAACCCTTTTCTCTTGGAATATTTCAGAAAACTCCAATAGAATCCCTGCTGGAAATCAAGGTATTTTTTTTTTCCTATTATGTTTTTGATTTTCTTTCTTTTCAAAAAAAAAAAAAAAATGAATCCAGCATTCCTGTGGAAAACAGAAGGTGGCACTCTTCCTTCTGTCTTGTGATATTTTCCACTCGAGTGTTTATTTTCATTCTTTTCTGTGAAGACTCAGAGCAGCACTCTGTTGATGAAGTTTCTTTTCTTTTTTCTGAGGTTAATGACCACTTTTCACTTATCAAAAGGCAGGGACACATTTCATGAACTGTGCTGTTGAATGAAAGGCACCAACTGCCATTGGTAATTCAATAGTAAACAGCAAATTAAAATTTGATAAGGTCTTTACAGTTTATTTGCTGATGTGAGCAACTTGTCACCTCAGAGATTTTCTCCTCCTTCATTTAATAGGCATAGGGAATAAAAAATCTCTAATATGAGATCTCTTGGAAAGATTTGCTATTATCACTTCCACATGCTCTAAAATTGGTGGTTGATTAAGTGAGCACATAGTGATGCAATTTGTGACCTTTCACTCAATTCTAAGCTTCAAATTAAATTTCTTTTGAAACTGAAATCTTGTTTTGTTGTCTTGTTCTTGATATCTGATTTAGGCTAGTTTATCTCAATGAAATTGAGATTATTCATAAGATCAATTTGATGGCTCTGCTTTGTATTTATGCTACATTCTTTTCCAGGGAGATGAATGTAGTTACAAATATTCATCAAGTATTGTCTAAATGATGCTACCTAATTAGAATTAATATGCTTCTTTTGTTGAAGGTCATCTCTTGCATTAATAATAAACTTTCAATTAACAATAAACTCTTGGCAAAATTTATATTTTAGGTTTTATGGATATCTAGTAAATTTTCTGTTATACTTTGCTTTGTTATTTTTAGCATATCAGCCTAAAATTAGTACATTTGCATTATAAGTGTTACCTTGTCTGGTAATAATGTAAACTATTAGGATATGTGTGTTGGGGAACTGTTAGTTGTCTAAATTGGACTCAGCTTTAGTTCTGTTTTTAACATTCTGTCTGGCTCCAAGTACAACCCAACTCCTGGTTCTACCTAACATTGCAAAGACAGGCTTTGGAAACCTGCCCCCATTTATGTATGGATCAGTAGGCAGCTGTGTGGTTTCCTAGATTTGTATATGCACCCGGTGCTATTCTATGTTTTATATCCAGGTTGAGGTGATGCTGTTTCATTCATAGCTAAATTCTCTTTAGCTAAAGAATTCAAGATTAAACATTCACCCTTATACAAATATATCTATTATGAAAGCACAATAAAAATGCTTGGCTTTTTATTTTTTCTTATTTATTTATTTTTAAAGGGACTAAAACAGAACAATAACATGAATTAAAATAGCTATCAGAAGATAGGAAATTACCATAGTTACTGTATTGCATATTGTCGTGTTCTAAACAGTTGCTCAGACTGCTGGCTTTAGGCTTGCAAAGTCAATCAAATAATCCAGTTCCTCCAAATCAGCTGGTTGCTCCTGGTGGTGGTGGTGAGGTAGGGGGCTGTTCTTCCCCAGCCTGTACTCTGGCTAGCTCACAGGCGGGGTTGAGCTTCCTTCCTGGTTCTCCCCATTCCTTGCTCAGGGTGGCTCACAGGTAGGGGCTTAGCTTCCTCCTGGTTCTCCCTGGTCCATGTTTTGACAGGCTCACAGGTGTGAGCTTAGCTTCGTTTCTCTTCTTGGCCTTGTATAAGAGCTAGATAAAGATCAATGAAATTTTGTTTTCCCCGGGGAAGTTAAAAATGAGCTACTCAGAAATACACAGATAATTCTTTTTTAGACTAAGACTAAAAGCTCATGACTGATGGAATACGGGAAAGAAAAAATAAGGCATGATTCTATGAACTATGACCAGAACTACTTGGATGTCATGATAGTCATTTGTTTTCCTATCTTAACTTCTATATTGATAAGCTACAAAACGAGAGCTCACACAGAAATCTGTCTATAAATATCTCTTACAGAATCTAACCTTGGAGAATGGTAAGTAAGTATGATTGAATCTTTGAACTGGGAATTTAAGAGTTGCAGAATTAGGTGCCACATTTTGACTTTTCATTATTTTGGACTCTGGACATCCATGTATTTATCATAAGCATAGACTTTTCTCCAATTAGAAGGCCATCATGTTTTGTATGGAATTTGGCAATAATAAGTTTATGCCGTGTAGCTGTGGTCAGGGTATACTTTGCTTGGTCTTACAGCAGTAGCTCTCAGGAATAAGGTCATAAAGCTTAGGAAAGTTTTCTGATATCAACAATTACATACTGTAACAGGGATGAGAAAACTGTTTTTTTAAAGGGCAAGAAAATAAATAAATAAAGGGTCAGAAAGTCAACGTTTTGTTTTTGCAGGGATGAGAGGCAAAATCTAGGATATCACTGCCTCTTGGTATTCCTATAACCATTTACAGTATAATCATTTGAACGAATAAAAACCCTTAACAGAGTATTCAAAAATATGCCGGAGGCCTGGTTTAGTCTACAGGCTCATTCCTTTTATGCTGAATTTCACTGTTATTCTACATTTGTTTCATTTTTAAATAATTCAGGCTAGGATCCCAGTATTTGTTGGGTCAGATACACAAGCACACTAGTATTCTTAGAGCTCTTAACATTTGTTTGGATTATGGAAAAGAACTATAGCTGATTGGATAGTTTAAAGTTCTGGTTTGGTTGATTTGCTTTCAATAATATAGACAAATTTACCCCCAGCAAACATAAAGACAGGTCATCAACAATCAAGCAGCAGTTTGTGTGAACAACCAAGTGACATTCCCGACTATCATGGAAATGTCAAAAGTCCCTCTTAAGACAAGGTGTCATTACAGCAGGTTAGTTTCTGGGATTTTGTAATTTAGTACTTGGGAAAGAACTGAGTTAGTTTAAGTTAAATAAATCTATTCAAAAATAAAATACTACTTATTGAAAAGTGAAATGTGAAATTTGGTGACCAAAAGCCTCTGGAACTGCAAGACAAAATTGAATGACTCCTTGGTCAGTAGTAAACCTTTGGGAATTTCTTCTTAGGTAATTTTCAGGAAAATTTCTGGCAGATGGGTGAAAGGCCTTGTCTAGCAATTGAAACAGTTGTTAGCCCAAAAGGAAATTAGGTCACCCAATCAGACAAACCCATTCTCTTGGGGCTCTGCACAATTGCCTTCCTGCATGGGAGATAATCATCAGGCCACAAGGGTGCTTTTAATGTTTGGCTGACCTCCAGTAGAGTTCAGTGAATTTGGTCTATTACAGTCAGGCAACATCTTTCACTGCTTGTGTGCCATGACTTGTAGGAAAATACCATTCCTTATTGGGAAATTAACTTAGGATCATCAGGGTCTCATTTTCCTTGCAGAATTCCCCTGGCTATGAGCTGTAGATCTGTTGCCTCTTCAAAATGTTGCTAATGCTCACCGTATTAGATCTGTCCATTAGTTTCTGCCTGTGCATATTCATGTATATCTTCAGTACTTCCTTTGTTTCTGTTGTGGGTACCATGTAATTAGTGTTTTCAGTTTTAAATTCCATTGGTAAGACATAGAAATATAAAATTTAGTTCAGGACAAGTGAGGTATAAGTTTAGTAAGTGCTTTCAACAGTGCAAACTACAAGTTTTCCAGATTATAGATCATAATTTTAATTTTAAAAATTGATGAAATAATTTGGTCTGATTATGCTTAATATTTACTTAATTTCTCAGTAAATGTTTCAGATATATTAATTTGACATAAATATATTTTCTTAGTACTTCATTACAAATTATCTTCATGTAATTTTGAGAAATTGATATTCAAATCCTTTGAAATAATTATCTTTATAAATGTTATAAATATTATTTGTATAAATTTTATTTAGGGCCAGTCTCATAAAATTTTACCAAATAATTGACAGCTAGTAAATTATCAATGTTTTATAACAAAATGTTTCCCAGATTAACTATGACATTTCATCATTTCTAAGATGGACACTTTCTTATTCCTTTTGTTATCTTTGGAACTGGTAAGCATTCAACAAGTGATGGCATGATATGGTATAAATAGTAGTACAAAGCAACGTAAATTATAGTACATCTTAAAACTGATGATGTCACAGATCCATTTATGAGTTAATTTGGAAAAAACAAAAAAGTAGAAAAAAATCTTAGGAACGAAAAGGAGCAATCATTATTTGGAAATGTAGAACTCGATTAAACAATACTTTAAGTTAATTCATTCTTAAAATGACTTTATAGTGGCCTATGTTTTGCACTAAACTAGTAAATTAAGGAATATTAAAAAGGCGTATGACACTGTCCCTCATGTTTACGAAATTAGAAATTTTCTCAGAGTTGCAACAAAGAAATATGAAATGGTGAGATATATATTGTGACATACAGATGTGGTTATATATGCATATGTTGTATATATGTACATATGTACAACAAATGCATATATATGTGTCTACGTATGTGTGTGTGTGTGTGTGTGTGTGTGTGTACAGATGTGATGAAGCCATATTTTGAACTAGATTAGGTGAGCCATTGGGAATCACTGTCACCATCACACACTGATAGCTTATTCTAGATCGTAGTAGAAACATGTGAGGCATAAATCACAGTGGATCCTGAAGAAAGGTTAAAATTCACCGTGAATATAGGAATTCGTATGTGAAAAGTGGCATCAAAAAGATCTGAAGCCTGTTCTGGGAGCAAATATTTAAAGTGCTAAGATACAATTGTAGAGTGTTCAAGGCTACTTGTGGTGCCGTGGGCATGAGGCTGGCTGGTTGACTATAGCCAGATGGTAGGGACGCCTTTGTGTCAGAGTAAACAAAGCCCTGAGAAACCTTCAAGGACGTTTGAGTAAGGAGAGGACACTTGATCTTGAAAAAGGCTCCTTTTATCTCTCCCTGTCTGTAGCTATTGTGCTATTTCATCTTTTTGTTAATTTTTTAAAAAGCTTCTATTTACTCTGTAACTCCCTGTCGTTATCTGTTTACTTAACTCCTTATATCTTACAACAAACATTTAAAAACCTTTCCATTCTGCTGGAATGGATCTTTCAAGTCCCTTTATTTTCCAGAGCCTAACATCGTTCTAGGAAGCGCATCACATCATTAATCAGCTCTGTCTCCGTTTTGGCTGGTCTTTAAGTGAATTTTGAGGCAATGCTAGTTTCTAGTTCATATTCTAGCTTTATGATTATTCTGTTTAATCTTATCTCACTTTTTTCTTCCTCTTATGTCCTTGAAACAAGTTTTTCTAGGATAGATTTAACAATCTTTCTTTTTATGTTTGACCTAACCTCTGCATAATGGTTTTGACTAAGTCACCATAGCCTCAAAAATTATCTCCAGCCTTGACTTTTCACACAGAAGTTAGTCTTGTATGGATAAATGTCAGCAGGGACATTAATTTGGATATCTCTTAACATCAACATGCAAAAGAAGGAAATGTTTCAGTCCTTTAAATATTGTGTAACAAAAAGCATCAAACTAGATAGATTACCTTACTTTCCTGTTTCTGCATTTAGTAAAATTCCAATGACACACAGTTTCAATACCTTCTGTCAATTAAATGTCATTGTAAAACTGCACAGCCAAATAATATTTTCTTATAATTTCAAATATTAAAGATAAAGCCAATATATAATTGGCTTTCTTCATCCCAGTCTTATTGCCAAAAAACAAGCATGTATAATCTCAGACCATTAATACTACACGCACGTCTGAATATGTGTTTGTGTGTGTGTGTGTTTATTTGCATGTGTGTGTACACAAACTGTTTAGTTTTATTTTGGGGGCAAATAATTAACAATTTACTTTTTCATTTTTCTTTCACTGTTCATAAAAACAAAGTATCTTATTTTTTAATATTAATATTCCCCAGTCCCTTAAAAAATATCTCTATTTCATGCCAACCCACATGAAATACTTTTTATCTTAGGGATGTCAGTTGGTATCCTGTTCAAAACTTCCATTTTAAAGATGAGAAAACTGAGTTCATAAATTTTTTTGGGCTGTCCAACGTTCTCTTAGTTCTATGTATAAAATCAGGACCTGACACCAGATCATCAGTGTTCTCATTTCTTACCTGTGCCAGAGCTTCTTCATTTGCATCCATATTTGCAGCCCAGGAATACTGAGCTCCCACAGAAGTACGGATACCTTGACAGAGACCTATCTAGTGTACCTCTCCAGTTCGTGTCTTTTCATAGCTGTAGCCTCACATCAAAGTCCAAACAAGAGAATTGCTTTATATAGTCTTACTGACATTCTGAAATTCTGGACTACTTAAAAATAGCTGCACCCATTTTCACCATAATCTCAATATATAAATGGTTCACAATATATATATGTTGTAATGGGAATACTGGATAATAGAGATTTCAATGATTTAATTTACTATGTAATCACATTATTTTGACATTCTTACTTTATTTTCTTTTCCTTTAAATACTGGGAACCCACATTCTTTGCACTAAGCTGTATTGCTAGCCCTCTTTTATTTCTGATTTTGAGATAGGATTCCACTAAACCACTAAGTTACCTACCCTCGTCTTCAACTTGGGACCTTCCTGCCTCAGCCTCCCTGAGATTTAGATATGCATCATTATTCACTGACAATTTGAACAGAAGTTCTGTTTTGGTTGATGAGATCAATAAAGATGAACCTTATATCAAATTATTTGACTTATGTGTTATCTTTGTCCCTATGGTA